GCCCATTTCGCCAAACGTCCGGATTGACTTGGACTATGAAGTATTGTTCTGAGTGGTTGGTTAGTTAATACTTCAACCGGATGGGACTGAAAATATGGACGCAGCTTCCGAGCCGAAGTTACCACCGCGAGTGCAAGTTTTTCCATCATTGTGTATCTGGTTTCCGGATCCGTCATTGACATGCTCACGTAGTAAATTGGTTTCTGCTCCCCATGGTCTTCCCGAACCAAGACTCCACTAACCGCGTGGTTTGAAACTGAAACGTACAAGTAGAGGTTTTCATCCACTTCCGGTTTGGACAGTATAGGTGGAGTGGTTAAGTATGCCTTAAGCTTCCCAAAAGCTTCTTCACACTTCTCATCCCAAAGAAATCCTTTGTTCCCTTTTAGAATTTGGTAGAAAGGCAACGACTTATCTGTTGATCTTGAGATAAAACGATTCAAGGCCGCAATCCGCCCAGTCAACCGTTGTACTTCTTTGAAGTTTCTCGGAGATGGCATGTTTAGAAAGGCGTTAATTTGATTTGGATTGGCTTCAATCCCTCTTTCTGTCACGATATAGCCAAGGAATTCTCCGGATGGGACTCCAAATGTGCACTTCGCCGGGTTCAGCTTCATTTGATATTTATTGAGAATATCAAAACATTCCTCCAAATGTTTAACATGATCTTCTTTCTTCAACGATTTAACCAACATATCATCTATGTAGACTTCCATAGTCTTCCCGAGGTGATTGTGAAACATTTTGTTCACCAACCGTTGGTAAGTCGCTCCTGCATTTTTCAAACCAAAAGGCATTACCTTGTAACAGTAGATACCTCTATCTGTGACAAATGACGTCTTTTCTTGATCGTCGGGGTTCATCATTATCTGATTATAACCCGAGAAGGCGTCCATGAACGTTAATAGCTCATTTCCAGCGGTGGACTCTACAAGTCGATCTATATGCGGGAGCGGAAAACTATCTTTGGGACATGCTTTATTTAGGTCTGTAAAGTCGATGCAAACCCTATCTTTCCCATTCTTTTTCTTGACAACGACAGTGTTTGCTACCCACTCCGGATATTGCACTTCTCTTATGGACCCTATCTTCAAGAGTTTATCCACTTTGTCGTTTACTATTTTTGCCCGCTCCACTCCAAGCTTTCTTCTTTTTTGTTTCACCGGTTTGAAGCTTGGATCTACGTTTAGTTCATGACGAATTATACTCGGATTTATGCCCGACATGTCCGCTGCTGACCATGCAAATGATGCTTTGTTTTTCCTTAAGAGTTCGATCAAAGCTTCTTTTATTTGGCCAGTCAAAGTTGCTCCAATTCTAATTTTCCGGTCCGGCTTGTCTTCTTCCAGTACCACTTCGACTACTACATCCTCTTTCTTCTGCCCACTGGGAAATTTTGTTTTTAGTCCTTCTTTTGCGGGCTTCGTTAATTGCTATTGAATCTTCATACGGTGGCTAGCTAAGTAACAAGTCCGTGAAGCTTCTTGATCTCCCCGAATTGTTTCCACCCCATTTGATGTTGGAAATTTGATACATTGATGGTATGTAGAAGGGACTGCTTTCATCCGATAAATCCAGGGAGTCCCGAGGATGATGTTGTAAGCAGCGGGCTTATCGAAGACAACGAAGTCCACGATCTTCGATACCTTCTTGGCAAGGACCGGTAGCTTGATTGTTCCGAGAGACATGGCTGACTCGCTTGTGAATGCAACTAACGGAGATGGGGGTCCTACTATGTCTCCTCGGCTGATTCCCATTTTTTCTAGAGTACTTAAAAAGATTAAGTCGACCGAACTGCCTGTATCAATAAGGATCTTCGATACTTCGAAGTTGGCGACATCAAGGGTAATGACTAGAGCATCATCATGAGGCCTTTCGAGGTACCGCGTTTCTTCTTCATCGAATGATATTGATGCACCTTGAAAATCGACTTCTTCGCTTAAGCTTGCTTTGAGTAAGACATTTCGTCTATGCTTTTTGATTGAACTTATTGAATCTCCGCAAAATCTGGATCCTCCCAGAATCACATTGATCTTACCCTTAGAACTCCTTGGTTCTTCCTCGTTGGACAATCTTGGTCTTTTGGAATCTTGATCTTTGGAGTTTTCCTTTGCTTCGTGGTATTCCTTCACAAAATCTTTTATATCGAATTTAGAAAGATCGCCACTAGCCCAAAGCTCTGCGAGGTGCTTTTTAAGAACGCTGCAATCCTTGGTTAAATGTCCGGTTACTTTATGAATGTCGCAATATAGACTTTCATCACGGACCCAAGTGTTTGATCTTCCTTTCCCTTGGAATTGCTTTCCAACGGTACTGTTGAAGGGTTGCGACCCAAATTTCCTTGGTCCTTTGCTTTCCCTAGGCTCGAACTTCTTGGCAGGGACGGTGATTGCTGGCTTTTCTTGCTTACTTCTTTTGGCGAAACTTTCTTTTTCGTCCTCTACCTCCATCCAATTGTTCGCGCGAAAGAGTGCATCCTGAATTGTGTCTGGTTTATGAAGTATTAAGTCTTCTTTAAACCTTGAATCATGTCGCAATCCTTTTCGTAGGGCAGATAAAGCTGATTGCTGTGAGATTCTTGGGAGTTTTGACAGCACTCCTTTGAATTTGGTGATGAAAACTCGAAGTGACTCACTAGATCCTTGCGATAAGTTCCAAAGATCAGCATCCGAAACACTTTTATCCATAAGAATGGAGTATTGCTTTAAGAATACGGCTGATAGTTCGTCGAAATTGCTGATCGAACCTGGCTCTAATTGGGTGAACCACATTAGAGCTTGGCCACACAGATTCTCCGAAAAAAGCTTGCAGTAACCTGCATCCTCATCAGCTTCATCCAATTCGACTCTTCCAGCAGCAATCAGAAAAGCTGCGAGATAACTTTTTGGATCCTCCAATCCGCTGTAAGGGTCCAACTTGAGCTTCCGGGAATCTTTGATCCTCAAACTTGCAATTCGCGGGATAAAAGGGGTTCGCCTAGCTTCTTCAATGACTCGATTGATGTCTGGCTCCGAACTTGTAGCCTGATGAAATTTTGATTTCATTTCTTTTAATTCCTGGCTAACCTTCCTCATGGTCTCGAACTGGTCGAGGTTCTCCTGCTCGTACTGAGCTGCAAGTTGTTCTTCATCCCCGAGCTGCGTCTCTTCTTCCGACGTCTGAGCTACATTATTAGTAGCACCGGGAGTTGTTTGTCCGCTGGTTTCATTTCGTGCAGCGGAACTTGGCGAGTTGAATATCCCTCTTCGGGTTCCCACCGGGTTTCCTGCACTTAAAGAACGAATACGAGTTTGTATATTATTGACGTTTTGACTAAGAGATACCTGGGATGTTTGCAACGTATCGACGGCCTTTTCCACATCCGAGAACTTTTGTGATATGTCCGACATGGTTTGCTGCATAGCTTTGAGGGTTTTGGCCAATGATGTCTCGGCAGCGTCTCCTCCGGACATTGTTGCTTATCTCGGAAGTGTGATAAAAAATCTGACCACTCAAGAACCTAATTGTCCCCACAGATGGCGCCAAAATGTGGATGTCGGATTCACACACTCAAGTATTTTGTTAAGTGGGCAAGATTATTCTTGAGGGACAAAAATGAATATGTAAAAACTTATAAATTGATACGAAAATTGCTATAGAATTTCTCTCTTGAGAGGAAGATCCCCTTTTACATGGCCATTGACCTCTATATTTATACATAGATAAACGACATTAAAATGAGTAATTAAGTACAATTATCTCTTCTTAAATGTGTCCGTTTTGATTCTTCGGCTTTAATGCTCAACGTTTGAATTTGAGTTGACTCTGATCTTCATGGGCCTCGCCTCTTTTGGCCCAAGTGTCCTTGAACCGACTTACCCATGCCTTCTTCATCGAACTCGTGTCGCAATGTAATCACTTCGGATTCTCGAAGTGGTGACAGCCACTTCGGATTCTCGAAGTGGTGACAGCCACTTCGAGCGTTCCTTTGAATCCTGGGTCCAATGTACTTCATTCTTTATGGGCCATTATCTTGACTACGTGGCAATCTTTGGTTGGTCTCGTACTTCTGGTGCGGGATCCGACACCAACATCATCTGCAAAACAAAGATGCGTTAAGAGAATGTTTTGACACCGTGGATACTATATAGGCTGGTGTTCTTGGAAATGCGTTTACATAATTACATATATCATTGAGCTGAGCAATTCCCGATTATGTAACGTAAGACAGAATTTAAACTGGTTAAACAAAAACTCTCATCCATAATGGTTATCAATGTTTTTGCTGTTTGATGTCGATGAACTTCATGTCTTTGTCACACATTAAGAAGCCCACTAAGAGCATCTCCAATGGTGTATCTTAGAGGATATCTTAGGTTTATATCTTAGCATTAATCACAAAAAATAAATCAAAACTGATTAAAAAGCTAAGATTTGTATCTTAGCTAAGACTTTTTGTGGGAGTTAAGAAGTGGATAGGCGCTAGGCTCTTATGCGACGCTTAGATACCTTGACCGCCTAAAATTACATAGACCTTGTTTAATGTATTTTATTGATTTTTGAATAAATTTATTTATATATAAATAGTTATAAATATTCATATATTATTTAGTATGAATATAAATAAATGATTTATCTAATTTTTGTTTATGATTTCGTATTTCTAGTTTTTTTCTAGATTTTTTCTATAACTTTTATATATAATATCATACTTATAATGTTTTATGTTATAAACGTCTAAACCGCCTAAAAATCGCCTAGGCCCCGATTAGGCGTTCTAGGCGCTAGGCGCTGGGTCACCGCCCACTTAGCGCCTAGCGCTTTCTTAAACATTGGTTCTTAACCATTGGAGGACTAATTTCTTAAGATACTCTCATTTTGTTCTTAACCATTGGAGATGCTCTAAGATTCTCAAGCCCACTATTAGCCCATTAGGTTTCTATGTCTTTAACTGCAGTCTGCAGCCAGGCGTATTCACTATTTATACCCGGAAGGTACGAAAAGAGTTTTCGAAGCTTTGACCTAACTTGGAGATGAGGGATTCAACAACGGCGATTTCCGATCTTCCACGAGATATGGTAGAGGAAGTGATCTCTAGGGTTCCATTAACATCTCTTAGATCAGTGCGAACAACTTGCAAAAACTGGAACAGTTTATTCAAAACTCGGAGCTTCACAAAGAAGCACATTCGTAAATCAAGAGCAGCAACGAAGAAGAGAGAGTTTATGGCAATCACGATGATCGATTCTAGTATTTATCTAATGAGTGTTAATCTCCGTGGAATTCACAATAACAACAACGTTGAGTCATTTATAAACCGAAAAGGTAAATTTATTAGCCTAAACAATGTAGATGGAGTTGATATATCTAGCGTCTTCCACTGTAGTGGTTTGTTGTTATGCACCACCAAAGAAAGGCTTGTGGTATTGAACCCTTATCGTGGACAAACAAGGTGGATCCAACCCATTGATCACGGAGGCGACTGCAGGCGCAGGGACATGTACACTTTGGGATACGAGAAGAAGGAGAACTCGCGTCGTCGTTACCACAAAATCTTGAGATCTATGGAAACGATGTCGAGATCTGTAGATGATTATGGAATCTGTGACGAACGAAATCGTATGTATCAAATCTACAATTTTAAGTCTGATTCATGGAAGGATATTGATGCCACTCCCAACAGGGACATGCGGTTTTATGGACGTGACGTGTCTCTCAAGGGAAATACTTACTGGCTTGTTAGAATGGATACTAACTGGTTTCGAGGACAAGAAAGATTTGAAGGACAAGAAAGATTTGTAAGATTCATAGAACGAGTAAGAGACAGCCCTGATTTCTTTTTACTCTGTTTTGATTTTACAACGGAGAGATTTGGACCGCGGATACGTCTACCGTTTTGCTCTAGTATTGGCGATAGAGTGGCCCTATCTAGTGTTAGAGAAAAGCATCTTGCAGTGTTACGTCAGCAATATGATACATTACGTATGGAGATATGGATTAGTAGTAAGATTGAGCCCGGAGAGGTGTCTTGGAGCAAGTTGTTTGTAACAAAGAATATGACAACACTTTTTACTTTCCCATTTGAACATGGGAATTTTTTTGTTGACGTGAGGAAGAAAGTCGTCGTAGCTTTTGCTAAAGACAAAGAGACGCCGAAGCGCTGGGTAGCTTGTGTCATTGGAGAGGATGGATATCTAAAAAAAGCGGATCTTGGAGAATCTACAGACAAACATGGTTTCCTAGTACAGCTTGTATGCCCTTATGTTCCAAGCTCAGTGAAAATCAAGTAGGCTACACCACGAGGCAATCATATTTGATTAGTTAGTCCATTTACAAAGCATAATCTATATGTATTAACAGTTTTCATTTATTATCATCTTCGTTCATTAGTTCGTATGTCGACCATTATTATAATAAGTTATCTGGTTTCTTAATAGGCTCTTCGGCTCTTCCAATATTAATTTGAAACAGCCAAATGCAATTGGACTTTTTTTACTTGGAAACTCTCTTTTAGCATTGCTAATTAGCTAAAAAGAACTTATTATTGTTATGCTTGATGCAATTGCTTTCTGTTCACATGAAAAAAAAAAACAAGAAAAATGATTGCATACCATGTTTTTGCAAACACATGAGCTTGAAAGCAGAGGAAAAGACTAAAGAGGGTTACTAAGAGCAACCCCAATAGAGGTTTCTAAACATGATTCTTAATAAATAATAAAATATGTATATTATTTAAATATTAGATGGGTACTTTAAATTTGGAGAAACTTAGCCCAATTGTTTATTAATTAAGAAACAATTGGGTTAAGTTTCTCCAAATTTAAGGTACCCATAATTAAAAAATATTATTTATCTATACTTACACTTTAATTTTATTTAAGAAACCTATATTAAAAACATTGGGGTTGCTAATATGACTCCTCTCTTTAAATAACAACATGGTACGGTCAAAATGTGGCAGAACATACACAAACACAAGTACCAACCCTACAACATCAAAGGAAAATATTCGTCAAAATGTAATTAACCTTCTCTCAATTTCCCAAATAAAAAACAAATCGCGTCCAAGCCACCAAATTTTGAGATTTTTGGATACTTATGAGTTTGCTTCAGACACGTTACATGCTTGAAGCTCTATGTTTACTATAGAACTTTGTCAATGAAAGCGCGTATATATATATATATATAATCTAGCTCATATACAGTAGATGAATCTTGTTACTACTGCTGCAGTAATGGCCTTGAGGATTTTAAAGATATTTACATTATTAGCAATTTTATATATAATGGTCTTGAGGATTTTTAAGATATTTATGTCAAGGACTGAAAAGTGTGCAACATTTTTTGTCAAAGTAATACACTAGAGACATGTAATGAAATTTTTGTTTGGGTTACACAGATATTAATCCACATTTTTTACAGTTATTCTTTTGAATGTTCATTTTATATTATATCATTGTAGCTAGCCTTCGCAACATAAGTCTCAATTATATATACCATATATATGTAGAACATCCCGGGTGTATCCAGTGGCGGATCTAGGAAAATTGTTTGATGGTGTCAAACTTACAAATGACTTGAGTTCTAATAATTGGGTTGGGTTCAAGCTTCATAATTAAACATATATATATATATATTAAAAATTTAATGTAATTAAAACGTTTTTAAAATTTTAATGGTGTCAAATGCACCCACAATATTAACGTGTCTCCGCCACTGGGTGTATCGCATGTATTCATGTAGTAAAGCTAATTAATCAACGTTTTTTTTATGTATACTAAGTTCTCTTTCTCCACAGCTAATGAAGCTGACTTTGCTACTACTATATATAATATACTAGGCTGGTGTTCTTGGAAATGCGTTTGCATATATCATCGAGCTGAACAATTACCGATTATGTAACGTAAGACAGAATTTAATGTACTGGTTAAACAAAACTCTCTCATCCACAATGTAACGTCGATGAACTTCATGTCTTGGACACACATTAAGAAGCCCACTAAGATTTTCGAGCCCACTAAGATTTTCGAGCCCACTATTGGCCCATCAGGTTTCTATATATTCAACGAGACGTGTTCACTATTTATTTACAGCTGAAAGGTACGAAAAGAGTTGTCGAAGCTTTGACCTAACTTGGAGATGAGAGATTCAACAACGGCGATGTCCGATCTTCCACAAGATATGGTAGAGGAAGTGCTCTCTAGGGTTCCGTTAACATCTCTTAGAGCAGTGCGAACTACTTGCAAAAGCTGGAACAGTTTATTCAAAACTCGGAGCTTTACAAGGAAGCACATTCGCAAATCAAGAGCAGCAACGAAGAAGAGAGAGTGTATGGCAATCATGATGATCGATTCTAGTGTTTATCTAATGAGTGTTAATTTCCGTGGGATTCACAATAACGACAACGTTGAATCATTTATAAACCGAAAAGGTAAATTTATTAGCCTAAACAATGTAGATGGAGTTGATATATCTAGCGTCTTCCACTCTAGTGGTTTGTTGTTATGCACCACCAAAGAAGAAAACTCGAGGCTTATGGTTTTGAATCCTTATCGTGGCCAAACAAGGTGGATCCAACCCATTGATCACGGAGGCGACTGTAGGGTTAACATGTACGCTCTGGGATACGAGAAGAAGGAAAACTCGCGTCGTCGTTGCCACAAAATCTTGAGGTCTATGGAAATGAAGCCGATATTTGTAGATGATTATGAAATCTGTGGGAAACGTCATGAGTATCAAATCTACAATTTTAAGTCTGATTCATGGAATGATATTGATGTGACTCCCAACAGGGACATAAGGTTTTATGGACATGACGTGTCTCTCAAGGGAAATACTTATTGGCTTGTTCGAAGGGCTATTAACTGGGAGCCACTAAGATTCGGAAGACAAGAAAGATGCGCAGGACGAGTAAGACTCGGAGCACAAGAAAGATTTGGAGGTCAAGAAAGATGCGTAAGATTCGGAGGACAAGCAAGATACGGAAGAGTTCAAGAACAAGTAAGAACTATCCCTGAGATCTTTTTACTCTGTTTTGATTTTACAACTGAGATATTTGGACCACGTCTACGTCTACCGTTTAAATCTCGCTTTGGCGATAGCGTGACTCTATCTAGTGCTAGAGAAGAGCAACTTTCAGTGTTATGTCAGCGGTATGATACATTACAGATGGAGATATGGATTAGTAGCAAAATTGAGCCCGAAGCGGTGTTGTGGAACAAGTTGTTAGTAGCAGTGAATATGAAAACACTTCTTACTTTCCCATTTAAACATGGGAATTTTTTTGTTGACGTGAGGAAGAAAGTCGTCGTAGTTTTTGCTAAAGACAGAAAGAAGCCGAGGCGCTGCGTTGCTTATGTCATTGGAGAGGATGGATATTTAAAAAAAGTGGATCTTGGAGAATCTAGTGACGAACATGGTGACCCAGTACTTGTGTGCCCTTATGTTCCAAGCTCAGTACAAATCAAGCAGGCTACACCACGAGGCAACCATATTGATTAGTAGTCCATTTTACAAAGCATAATCTTTATGTATTTTCAGTTTCTTTTTGTCATTTTCGTTTCTGGTTTCTCAACACTATCTCGTTGGCTCTTCCAATATTTATTTGAAACAGTCCAAATGCTTCTTGCACTTTTTACTTGGAATCTCTCTTTTAGCATTGCTAATTAGCTGATGCAATTTCTCCCTTTTCACGTTAAAAAAGAAACAAGAAAATTGATTCATATCATGTTTTTTGCAACACATGAGCTTGAAAGCAGAGTGAAAAGAGTCTCGTTACCAAAACCCTAAAAGAAGCCCAGTAGGATTTTAAAACCCACTATTGGTCCAGCAGCTTTCTATGTCTTCTGGGAGAAGAGTTTTCGAAGCTTGACCTAACTTGGAAACGACGACAGATTCAATCAACAATGGCGATGTCGGATCTTACACAGGATTTGGTAGAAGAGGTGATCTTGAGAGTTCCGCTAACATCTCATAAAGCAGTGCGATCTACTTGCAAAAACTGGAACACTTTATCGAAAAACTTGATGAGCTTGAAAGGGATAAACCTTGCCAAAGCAAGAGCAGCAACAAAGCAGGAGTTTCTGACAATCGTGATAATGGATTTTAAGGTTTATCTAATGAGCTTTGATCTCCGTGGACTTCACAATGACAACGACGTGGAATTATCTATAAAGCGAGAAGGTAAACTGATTAGCCTAAACGATACAGAGGGAGTCCGTGTATCTAGAGTCTTGCACTGTAGCGGTTTGTTGTTATGCATCACCAAAGAATATAATCCGAGGCTTGTGGTTTGGAACCCTTGTTCTGGACAAACAAGGTGGATCGAACCTAGAGGTTCTTACCACAAAAAGAACAACTATGCTCTCGGATACGAGATGAAGAACAAATCTTGTCGAAGCTACAAGATTTTGAGATATTTGGATGCGTATGACATTAGTGTAAGGATTCTATATTGTGAGTTTCAAATCTACAATTTTGATTCTAACTCATGGAAGGCTGTTCAGGCCACTCCTCGCTGGAATATACATTATTATCAACGTGGGGTGTCTCTCAAGGGAAATACTTACTGGTTTGCTCAAAGCACGAATCTAGGAGGATATAGTTTCTTACTTTGTTTTGATTTTACAGCTGAGAGATTTGGACCGCCTCTGCCTATGCCTATTTTCCACGTTGTTGAAGATACCGTGACTCTATCTAGTGTCAGAGATGAGCAACTCGCAGTGTTATTTAAGCGACGTGGTGCATTACATATGGAGATATGGATTACGTATGAGATTGGGCCCAGAGAGGTGTCGTGGAGGAGCAAGTTGTTCTTAGCGGTGAATATAAAACCATTTACTTATCGATACCCACGTGAACATGGGAGTTTCTTTGTTGACGAGGAGAAGAAAGTCGCCGTGGTTTTTGGTAGAGACTTGGATGAACCTGACCACATTCGCGACGCAGCTTATATCACTGGAAAAGATGGATACTTGAAGAAAGTGGATCTTGGAGAATCTACATTCAAACTTGATTCCCCATATATTTGCTCTTCTTATGTTCCAAGCTTAGTTTAAATGCTTTACATATGTGCCAAGAGATTCAAGCTCATCAAGGAGGTATTTGGACTAAGCAACCATATTGATTAACTAGTTCATTAACAGAGCCTAATCTATGTTTTACTGTTTTTTTTTTTTGGATATAAAGCAGAGACGCAAGTTGAGAAAACCAGCTAAGTGGTGGTGGTGTCTTTACTCCTTACTCCTTAGAAATGCGTTTGTATACATCATCTAGCTGAACAATTTGCGAACTATGTAATGTAAGACACAATTTAAACTCGTAATTTTATCAAACAAAATTCTCTGATCCACACTAGTTTTCGTAATTTTGAAGTATTTTAGATAAATTCCATGTTCAATAACATTAACTTCTAATTTTTTTTTTCATTAACTTGTAATTTACTTAAGCTAATTAAATCTTATAATGACGCTAATTAAGAAGCCCATTACGATTCTGAAGCCCACTATTGGTCCAACAGCTTTCTATGTCTTCTTCTACTGCCAAACTATATTCATCATATATAAAAGGAGAAGAGTTTTCGAAGCTTGACCTAACTTGGTAAAGACGACAGATTCAATCAACAATGGCGATGTCGGATGTTACACAGGATTTGGTAGAGGATGTGATCTCGAGAGTTCCGTTAACATCTCGTAGATCAGTGCGATCTACTTGCAAAAACTGGAACACTTTATCCAAAAATTTGAGCTTTAGAAAGATAAACCTTGCTAAAGCAAGAGCAGAAACGAAGCAAGAGTTTCCGGCTATCATGATATTGGAGTATAAGGTTTACCTAATGAGCTTTGATCTCCGTGGAATTCACAATGACGACGAAGACGTTGAATCATCTATAAAGCGAGAAGGTAAACTGATTAGCCTAAACGATACAGATGGAGTCAATATATCTAGAGTCTTGCACTGTAGCGGTTTGTTGTTATGCATCACCAAAGAATTTAATCCGAGGCTTGTGGTTTGGAACCCTTGAACCTAGAGATTATTACCACAATGAGGACAACTATGCTCTCGGATACGAGATGAAGAACAAATCGTGTCGTCCAAGCCACAAAATTTTGAGATTTTTGGATACTTACGACATGAGAGTAAATAAACGACTTTATGAGTTTGAGATCTACAATCTTGACTCTAACTCATGGAAGATTCTTAATGTTACTCGCGTCGGGAAGATACCTTATTATCAACGTGGCGTGTCTCTCAAGGGAAATACTTACTGGTTTGTTCAAAGCAAATATCCAGGAGGAGGTTGTTGTTGTTGTTTACTTTGTTTTGATTTTACAACTGAGAGATTTGGTCATTTGGACCCGGTCTGAAGATGCCTATTTACCCTGTTGCTGAAGATACCGTGACTCTATCTAGTGTTAGAGATGAGCAACTTGCAGTGTTATTTCACCGACGTGATTCATTACATATGGAGATATGGATTACGACTGAGATTGAGCCCAAAGAGGTGTGGTGGGGGAGCAAGTTGTTCTTAACGGTGAATATAAATCCACTTACTTGTTATCAATTCCCATTTGAACGTGGGAGTTTCTTTGTTGACGAGGAGAAGAAAGTCGCAGTGATTTTTGGTTAGAGACATGGATGAACCTGACTACATTCGCTACGCAGCTTATATCACTGGAAAAAATGGATACTTGAAAAAAGTGGATCTTGGAGAATCTAAATTCAAACTTGGTTCCCCACTTATGTGCTCTTCTTATGCTCCAAGTTTAATTTAAATCAAGAACGAGACAACCATATTTGATTAATTAGTCCATTAGCAAATCCTAATCTATGTTTTTACGTACTGTCTTTTTTTTTTTGTCATCTTTGATCATTAGTTTGTATGTCAGACCATTATTATCACTTATTCACTTAGCTGGTTTCTCAACACCGTCTCTGCTTTATTGATTTATTCAGTTTGTTCATCCTTACATTTTCAATGGATAGTGAATGAAAGTACTGTATGTGATCTCTCGATACGTTGGCTCTTCCAGCACTTCATTGAAACAGCCGAATGCATCTTAGACACTGTATTATCCATAATGCAACTGTTGTTCTCTTTGCACATGAAAAACAAGAAAAATGACTTCTTACCATGTTTCTGTAACACATGAGCTTGAAAGCAAAGGAAAGAGAGGCTTACCAGTTACCAGAACTGATATGTCCAGTCTCTTTGAATCACAACATAACTTATGGTCAAATGTGTCAGAAAACCCCTACATCAGAGGAAAAGATTTGTCAAAAAAAAGTCCACTATTAGAATTTTAATGTTGTTTTCCTCTGAATCATCTAAAGATGCTTTTTAGAACACTAGGAAACACCAATAAAGCTAGAACGTCTCGGAAACGTCCCTATATCCAAATCCTTCCGTCCCCATAACTACTTATCCCGCCTTGCTCAAAACGTCTTGGGGACGTTTCAGAGCTGTCCCCATGCTGTCCCAGTTTCCCAAACAGCTACCAAATTGAAGTACTTACCCGTGCTTCCTAACTGCCAATCAAGCAAGCTGAACCATAAGGCAACCATATTGATTAGTCCATTAATCTATTATATATGTTTTTTTATAGATTTAATATTACAGATTTATCTCCTTCTTTGATTACAATGATTTTCTTATTCTTTGTAAGAGGTTTTAGAGGAAAGAGTTATTTCATCAAAATAAAATCTGGACTCTTTTTAGTTTTTCTTTTTATAAATCTTAAGAAAGAGAAAACTTAGTTTTTAAAACTAAATTGTTAAAAAACTATTCAAAATATTTGAAAATTAATTTGCAAATGGACATGTCATATTATTTAAATTAATTTGTCCCTTTATTTCTGCTTCAAAAAGCAATTCAAGATCTTCTAATTGATGAATTTAATGAGAAGATATCAAACATATATACTAAAGTCTATATCTTAACTGAGAAATATTAAATTAAAGTTTTCTTGCTTGGTTAACTTGATTTTTGTATGACATATTCAACAATGGCTATGTCTAATCTTCCTAGGGATTTGGTAGAAGAGGTGCTCTCTAGGCTTTCGGTGACATCTACGAGAGCAGTGCGATCTACTTGCAAAAAATGGAACATTATATCCAAAGACGAGAGCTTTACAACGAAGCACGTTGCTCAAGCAAACGCAGCAGCAAGGGAAAGTGAGTTTCAGGTGGTAATGATGATGGAATATAAGCTTTATTTAATGAGCGTCAATCTCCATGGCATTGAAAACAATGTTGATCCATCTATAGAGGTTAAGGGTAAACTTATTAGCCTAAACATAGCTGATCAAATCGGTATATATCAAGTTTATCACTGTGATGGTTTGTTGTTATGTATGACCAATGAAGGAAACTCTAGGCTTGTGGTTTGGAACCCTTATTGTGGGCAAACAAGGTGGATCGAACCTAGGAATTCTTACCACAGATTGGACAACTACGCTTTGGGATACGAGAAGAAGAACAAGTCGTGTCTTCAATACAAAATCTTGAGAATTCTGGTGACATCATTACACAAACTTCACCCAGTTTATGAGATTGAAATTTACAACTTTAACTCTGATTCATGGAAGGTTGTTGATTTCACTCCTGACGGGGATAGGCGCTTTACGGGGATAGGCGCTTTTTTGTACATGGCGTGTCTCTCAAGGGAAATACTTACTGGTTTGCTAGAGAGTATGTGAGGTATGAAGGTGTACAAGAAGTAATGAATTACGTGGCTAGTTTCTTGATTTTACAACAGAGAGATTTGGACCGCGACTTCCTCTGCCTTTTGACATTTTTATAATCGATAATGTGAGTCTCTCGAGTGTTAGAGAAGAGCAGCTTGTGGTGTTACATCACCAATGGATGAAATTGAGGATGGAGATATGGGTTAGTAATAAGATTGAGCCTAATGCAGTGTCGTGGAGAAAGTTGTTAGAGGTTAATATGAGACCATTACCTCGATATCGTTTTCGTCTTGACCATGGGAGTTTCTTCATTGACGAGAAGAATAAGGTCGTTGTGGTTCTGGATAAAGACGAAGAGACGGAAACCCGCAACTTAGTTTATTTCATTGGAGAGGATGGATATTTCAAAGAAGTGGAACTGGGAGAATCTAGAGGCAAAAATGGTTCTCCATTTGTGAGCTCTTATGTTCCAAGTTCAGTGCAAGTTAGCAACTCGCAGAGGAGGCAATTAACCATATTTGATTAATTAGTCCTTTTACAATGCCTAATCTATGTGTTTAATTTACTCTTTTCTTTTGTCATCTTTTATTATTACTGCTCTGTATACACGTCGATGACCATTGTTATCAGTTATTTGGTTTTGGTATTTATCAACAGACATGAAAATGCTTAGATACCAGTAGCTAAAACTGACATATCTCTCTGTACCACTACCACCAATATGTAGACATGTCTCTCGCCTGGAAGATTTAGAAAATTAAGTAGAAAATATTTTTGTTAATCAAAGAAAGTGTAACGCAGGTCACTGCAGTGATGGTCTTTGACTATTGGGTGCAAACAGAGATTCTTCATCAGAATGGATTTTGGCTTTGCCAATAACCACCAAATGAATGGTTGAAGTGTAATTATGATGCAAGAATCAACAACATAATGAAATTTCCACAAGTTAAACCGGAAAAAAACAGACCGGACCAATCCAGTTGTGGCAATGGCAAAGCAGTAATTTTAAAGAATAAGAGCCTTATTTTGGTACTTTTGTCCAAATTCCGCCAAACAAAACTGTATCGCCGTCTATCTTCTTCCTCAAAACCCTAGAAACTGTAAAACCCTTCACTATCTATCTCTTACACACACCAATTACAGTTCAACTTTAGTTTTGTCTTCCCAACAATGTCTTCCAAATCGACCAAGAGGAAGGTTACTGAAACATTCGATTCTCTAAAATCGAAGAAGCCAAAGCTGGTGTCTGGAGAACAACAACAACAACAACATGGGAAACCTAAATTTGTTAAACCCAAATCTTTTGGAGACAGTCTATCGAAGAAGGAGCGTCGTGTACAGGCTAAGGTAAAACATTTTTGGATTTGGAATCTATATATGTCTGATGTCTGATGAATTATAATTTGGTTTCTGATTCTTTTGATTTTGGCTGCAGGAGCTAACAGAAGCTAGGAAGAAGAAGAGGAAGCCACATTACAATCTTGAGCAAGTATGTAGCTTGGTGAATACAAATTTTCTGGCTTTTTGTACTTATCGTAACAGAGGATTGATAACTCTTATCAGGAGCTTGCATCTCTATGGGAGAAGATGAGGCGTCGTGATATTGGCAAGGAGGACCGATCAAAGTTAGTATACAATAAAGAATGCCTCTTTGTTCTAAAACGTTCTATTTTATACTTGTTTGATTAAACATGGTTTTAAATTTATTTGTTAGGCTGATTTCTGAAGCTATAAGGAAGATGAAGGGGAAGGTTCCAGAGATTGCAGTCTCACATGTTTCATCCCGTGTACTCCAGGTGTGTTTTTGCATCTTTTGAGTTTTATGGAAAAGGGCTGCCAAATCCCTAAGAACATGTATAATTGGTTTGTTGTTTTCTTCTTTTTCGTAGACTTGTGTGAAGTTTTGCTCACAAGCTGAAAAAGATGCTCTCTTCGCCGAACTCCAGCCACAGTTTCTTAACCTTGCTTCTAATAAATATGCTGTTCATTTTATACAGAAGATGTTGGATGGAGGTTAGTTCTAACTTCAAGTTGATTATACAACTAGTTTATGCAAACTGCTAATTTGAGTGATTTGTTTGTGCAGCATCTAAGCAGCAGCTGGCAGCTTGTATATTCAGCCTCCGGGGACATGTTGCTCCTCTTCTCCGTCACCTGTTTGGATCTGTTGGTATGTAGACTACTGATGTAACATAGTGATGTTTCAAAATATATAGCATTTTTTGTTTCTTTTGAAGCTCACTTTCTCTTTGTTTTTTTGATCTTCCTCGAGTTGTGGAGCATGCATACCGTCTGGGAACTGCTGCACAAAAACAAGAACTCCTTGCAGAATTGTATTCTACAGAGCTTCAGTTATTCAAGGGCTTGACCTCATCTACCGAAAAAACGTAAAATTTCACTTATCTTCCTTGTCTCTTGTATTTTTTGTTTCTTGATATCTTGAGAGCTAGGAATCCCTTATCATTGTTGTTATTTGTGATGGTGATTACAAACTCGATATTACTCTTTACTGTCATGAGTGGAACATATCTTAAGAGTTACTGAATGTGATTCAGGGTGGTAGACATCATCGCTAAGCTAGGACTGCAAAAAGGTGCTGTTAACCGACACATGACTGCCATTATCCAACCGATTCTTGAGAAGGGAATTGTCGACCACACTATCACACACAAATTGCTGATTGAATACCTGACAATAGCTGATAAGGTATGTATATTTTGTTAATTTATGTGAGTGTTTGGGATTACAAACTTGTTCGCTTTACACTCTTCTTGTTTTATACTAAATGGATTTTTTTTTTGGTAGACTTCTGCTGCAGATGTGCTTCAGCTACTGACAGGCTCCCTTCTTTTGCGTATGGTTCATACCCGTGATGGTTCTAGGCTTGCCATGCTTTCTATCAAACATGGAAGCGCCAAGGTACACCTTCTTGAATTTTTTAAGTACAAGGGATTACCCCTCAGATTACGGGTGGTTTCATTTGTATATCTCATAAGGTTACTCCGGACCAGTTTTGATATCTCATGATGTCTTTTCTTTCAAAAGTACATTGAGCCTAAGTTCTTCCCCTTCTAATGGTTGTATATGTAAATCGTGATTTAAATGTAAATATCAAAACAATCTCGTAAACAGATTTCCTAGTTGACATCTATTTTTGACCTCTAGAGCAAAGGACTGATGGTAGAGATTTCCATAGAAAACTTATAAGTTGAGCTCTTTCTAAATCATAATCTTTGCAGGAGAGAAAGAAGATTATCAAAGCAATGAAAGAGCATGTTACAAAGATGGGTTTTTATCAGTTTGGAAGTATGGTAAGGAGGCATTTAATTATTTGCTTTTGGATTTACCACTTATAGTAGTACTTCACTGTCGGTTTATCTTCGTCTTTCAGATATTAACCCCTTGTCTCCCTTGTGTTCTCAGGTGCTTGCATGTATTTTTTCAATAGTTGATGACACAAAGCTCGTGACCAAGGTAGTTTCACTGAGCCAAATAGAAGATTGTTGGAATTATATGCTTATGTTCTGATCCTTCTGAATCTTGTTCAACCATACACAGATAATTGTTCGTGAGCTCGAGGCCAGCCTAAAGGATCTTGTTATGGACAAGGTTTGTGTTCCTTATATATGAAATTATTCTGAGATGAAAATTTACCTTATCTTTTCTTGGATCTGATGACATCTAACCTTTCGTTGGTTCCATTTGTACATAATTTTGTTCCTTTGTTTTTAGGCCATTATATAATTAATATGTTGAATTCTTCAAGTAATTTACTTTCTTCCTTAACGTTTGCTTCAAAATTGTGTCTTCAGAATGGTAGGAGACCGCTATTGCAGCTACTGCATCCAAATTCTTCACGTTATTTGAGCCATGATGATTTGGCCGCTCTTGATCTTTCTGTTCCATCACTCTGCTCAATGGTATGATGATAGATATCCCCAACTATCTTTTTAATTAAAATGCTTTCTACTGGATATAAAACCTGTCAATCTTATCCATTCAATTTCAGGATAAGTCAGACACATCCTCTAAAACAAAGGACACAGATGGTAACGAATCTGGTGAGGAGACGAAGGATGAACAAGACGATACAGTAGCTGAACATACAGATCATGAAGAAAACGTCACAGCTATGGGCGGTAAAAAAGATCCCCTTGTGAGAAGACAGGAGTTGCTCGTCAACAGTGGCCTTGCTGAGGTGTGTGTGACGTGGTGACTCAGTTTTCAGTTTCTTGATTGTTTTTTGATACAATGTTGCAACCTTTAGTTGTATTAACTCTAATGGATCATTCTTGATTTTCTGGACAGAGGCTTATTGATGTGTGCGTGGAAAATGCCGAGGAATTCCTCAAGTCCAACTTTGGCAAAGAGGTCATGTATGAGGTAAATTTGTTTTCTCACATCTTTTGTTGGTTTAAGTCCTGTTATAAAAACGTTAGGGGATAAACAAATTCTTAAGGTATATAGATATCTGGGAAAAAAACAGATTTCTGTAACCATTTAATTTGTAGAAACCCATTTACCACATGACATTTGTTAGGGTAGATACTTGTATACTCTTATCTACCTTTCATAACAGATGCTACTTTCATTCAATCTTTCTTGAAGTTCCATCTCTCCCCCGGATGAATCATATATTTTGATAACAAAATGCTAATTTCCAGTTTTATTTTCTTCTGTGCTGTCATGATATTCTTCCTCTCAGCTAATCTCTAGTTTTCGTCATTATGACGTTTGTTTTGTATCAGGTTGCCATCGGAGGCTCCGATGGTATTCTTTGCCCATCTCTGAGCGAGAAGCTGTATGAGCTGTACGAAGCTATTAGCTCTGTAGCAGCAAAACCGAAACCCCAAGAATCTGGGAAGGATTCAGAGCACATCCTGGAAAACTTTCACTCAAGTCGGACCATAAGAAGGCTTGTCTTGGATTGCCCTGGTTTCGCATCCACTCTCTTTAAGAAGGCCTTGTCTGGAAAATGTCGGTCGTGGGCTCAAGGACACTGGTTAGTTAGCCTAATGACTCCTCTCACACATCCATTTGTCTGCTAATAAGCAGGTGTTTTTGGTTAAGTCTTGAAATCTTCGTTAAGTCTCTTTTGTTTTGGCAGTTCAAAGATACTATCTGCTTTCCTAGAGACTGAAGATTTTCAAGTTCGTGAGATGGCTAAAACAGAGCTTCAGGTGTTGGTGAGTGAAGGTACTCTGAAAATCTCAGCAGCCAAGAAACCTGAATGATGCAGCCGCCAGTGAATCACTTGGCAGTTTTTTTTTTTTTTTTTTTCCAGACAGGTTATCATGTTTCAGAATTGCCAATCTGACTATGGCAAATTTTGTTGTCCTTGTGTCACTTTATAATTTTGATCTGGCCCAAAAGCCCAAAAATCCTCTTTGTGACAAAACTGAAAACTAACCCTTGACACAAAACTCACCAATCTTGGATATTATAAATGAAATAGTTTTGTTATATTTATCAATATTAGAAAGACTT